TATGTATATTTGACTATATATTCTACATATATACTCTGATATATAATTTATATTTTTTATATATCAAAATGGGATAAAGCGAGATATACTCGATACATCTGCTTAGGAGCGTTCGATTTTTCATACAAAGCGACTTAATTATTAACAAAGGAAGATGTAAAAATTTCTATGGAAAATTTTCTAACGCATCGCAAATCAAAACAAATGTCATTCAAAAGGTCTTAATGAATAGATCGAAGTTTTCAATAGGCACAAAGGCCATTGAAAATTTGTTCGTCCTTCATATGGGTCATCAAACGTTCTTTTGTAAATAAAAAGTTATCAGATCTTTTTGCGACCTCTGCATGATTGAAAGCTCTGACAAAGACCCGACTTCATTTTATTTTTTATTTTTATTTTTACTTTTATTTTTTATACATATAGTCTATATATCTAAGTATAATAATGTTGAACTCTTGTTGAATGCTTTGCAATATATTACATTAATATAATTTATTTGGATATATTGCAAGGGAATTAACATTGATTTGACTGACTCTCTCTCTCTGAATTTTTGTGATAACTTCGTGAAGGACACACTTTCTACCCATTGTACCCTTCGTTCTATTCATCGAGACCTTTCGAACGACACTTGTTTTTCGTCTGCAACGCGTTAGGCAAGTTTTAGCATTCTCTTTCGTCGCTTTTCATGGAAAATCGTACGCTACTAGATGGGGGGGGGGGGGTGAGGGAGAAGTGTAGGGTAAACTTTGTTTCGCATAGGAAGTCATTACATAAACAGGGAAGAGTATGAAGTAGTTCCAAATTGCATGTAGCAGAAATAACAAATTAATTAAAAAATTTTTTGTTAATAACTTTTAACAAGCGACGACTAAAATTTGTTAAAGGTCACAGGATTGTGACCTTAACAACATCTATCAATATATGTAATTTTTAGTATTACGGTGACCATATATTCTTTATTATTCCAGTAAAAATAAAATTATTCCACGTTCAGGAACATTTCAGCGAAATTACTGAAAATTTACTGAAATTTCACTGAAAGTGAATTTTTCAATTAACATACTAAAAAATCGCTGAAATTAAACTAAAATTTTTCTAAAATGGTGAAATTTCGTGCTCCAAAACGTCGGATAATTTCAGTGAAATTTTTTCTCCAGCTGTCCTTGCCCAGAAACACATTCATAAATGTAAGAATAGGATCGGCTTCAATAGAATAGGATTCAATAAGAAAAGACATTGGTCAACAATAGTAGAAAAAGCAGGTAGCCGACTCATTTGTGCTTTACTTAGGAGTTCTCAAGTATACGTCGCAAGAAAATTTTAGAAACTAATATGTAGAATTCTGACAGTTATAAATTAAGGAAATATTTAGGAATAAAGTTTTAAAATTTTCAAGTTTATTCTCTACTTTCTCTAAGAAAATATGAGGATCATAAATACATCTAAAAACTAAGTTGTATTTAATTCTATGTGTTTCTAATAAATTTTCCAAATCAATTTTTTTGAAAATAGAACTCCGTACAAAAAAAATTTCCTTTTAACATAAATTATCCTCTACTGAATAAACATGTTTATAAACTTACCATATTCAACATGATTTTTTGGCATTCTATTCATTTCTGAATCTTTTTCCGCCTGTTGCATTTGTTCAAAAGCCTTGTCAACAGGTCTTCCCAGCAAATACTCCTCTCTGTTAACCATTTGATTTGGTCCTTTATACATCCAGTCTAATTTCATATCGTCCTTTTTCTCTATTACACCTTGTTCTACAGCATATTTTTTTATGTCTTCCAAATCTTTCTCCATTTCAATTTCCTTTTTCAACTCTGCTATCCGCTTATTCTCTTGATCATTTTGCTGCTCTGCCTTCCTTACTTTCTCAATGTTCTTCATGGTAGATGGATGCCATGACTTTTTCAAATTCTATGAAAATTTACATATGTATTAGAAAATACGGCAAATTTCACGCTTGGTATTATTTTATAATCTTGATTATAACACACTTAATTATAACGCATTTACACTTACTAAATCTCCACCTCCCATCGTATTTATAACAATGTTAGATAAAATGTCGCAGTAAGAGATATGTATATATATATAATATATTAATACGTAGTTACAATTATCAAGAAAAATTCACTTTTTGATGTGAAAAGACACATGCATATCATTCTCAGTTTATATTCACAATTTTTTCACCATCACTTAATTTTCTCTTCCGTTTCGTTCTCTTTCAGCAAACCTTTTTGTAGGTTAACCAAGGTAGCGTCATAACGCCTCGGCAAGCAACAGCCACGAAGTGCTCTATTAGGATTTTGGGCCCGAGCAATGAACACCAGTGACGCCATTGACGTCAGCATTTCCCTCTCTCTCTCGCTTTTGATGAAGGCGAGAACGTTGAAAACGAGAAGGACAGAGCGAGTAAAAGAGGGAAATCGTTCCTATCTGGACTCCGATGCACGTCTGGTTTAAAACAGCGTCTCAATCCCCCTCTATTTTTTTCTGCTTTCTCCTAATAATGAACAGCGAAGACGAGAAAATTCTTTTGCTGTAGCGCATTCTTTCGCTGTTTCGCTCACTTGGAGGAAAGTCGGGGCGGGGAGGGGGGGGGGGGGGGGGGGGGGGGGAAGGCTAACAAACGCTAGGTTTAGTCGCGTCGCGTACTCCAATATGTTCCTATCATATAACTCCTATTCACTCTAACGTCTCTATAATAAACGCGTTTGAGTAAATAGGAGTTATGGTTGGAGAAAATAGTAACATATTGGAGCATGCTACGCGAACAAACCTGCTGTGTTGCTTAGGAGTCTCGGGACTGAAATTCCATCACAGCAGCGAGTCAGGCAGCAATTATGGAGACACTACTCAGAATAAGTGTAAACTCATATTATATAAATTCATATTTTTACCGTCAAAATACAGAAAAAATTGCATTATATTTATAATATGTATAATCGACATGTAGTATCGTTTTCAGAATTGTATAAAACAATTATTTTTAAAGAAGCTTAGAATTAAGGCTCGGCAAAAAGAGATTAATTTTGAGTAAAGGCTCTCTAAAGAGGTGTCAACAAGTCTCCAATTTGAATGCTATCAGTGCTTTTATCCTTTGCATTTAATGAATGATGATTATGAGCATTTATAGCATGGGCCATGAGCGTCCAAATTGAACGCAGAGAGAGCTGAAGTTATGACTAAATGAAGTTATGACTAAATTAAATAAAGCTAAAGTTGTGCATCAACTTGATCTGTGTAAAAGCACCGACAAGATACTATTAAAGACCGACATCCTTATGGTTCGCGTCCTTGTGAATATTGAAGTGATTAAGAGTTAAAAACTGATAATATTGTACTTATTTTATGATTTATTAGTATAATAGATTAGTTTAATATTTATGCATTTAGAATTTAATAATACTTGACTTTTCTTTAAAATTGTGATTTCAGTGTTATCGTCAAAGTTTTGATTATCAACAGAGATGATAACTGCAGAGAAAAAAATTGTAATTTTTCTACAATATATAGGATATTGCAGCTTTACAAGTATGCATATTTATTTATGGAACATTTATGTAATAAAAAAATCATGAATTTAATAATGTATGATAAACAAATATTTATGTTAATAATAGCAAATTTCTATCAATTGTCAATAATGTCAGCATTCTTCAATTACCTCCGAGCCCTTGGGGCTTTTTTTATACCGCCGAAAATTTGCCCAGGGTTGACGGTCTTTAATAGTATCTCGTAGGTGAGATAAAATGCAAATATTTAGAATTATAAAATACAGATTTTACTTAACAGTATAAAAAATACATTGAGGATTTTATGTTTCAATCTGTTTTGATATTTGTAATTTATATTAATTGATGTATTTTTACATCAATTTGTGTACGACGGCTTTAACATGCATCAATGCGCACTAAGTGCATCCAATCAAATTCACTATAATTTACACAATACTGTTCCCAATTAGTAAGCTAACGTCATTTGTCGCTATTCTGACGTCGAAATAACATTTACGTATGATGATATTTGACGTCAATTGTCGATAAATATCTACTTGCTAGTTAGCTTATATGGTACATACATATTTTAATTTTAACATAATGTAAACATTTAAAAAATAGACTAAAAGCTCATCTATGTTATATTGCTATGTTATAGAATTTGATGAACTTCATCAAGTATAGATAAAGTTTTAGATATAAATTTATAACTTTTTAAAGTGCACAAATATTTTACACAAAAATTATTATTTATATGATTAATAATGATACTTGTATTAACAATTAATGATTTTTTTTATTTTATAAGTATCGTAATGTATTGTACAACATAGAGGTGTCATTAATATCATTCTATTTGAAATTTATAATTGTTCCCTTTATGTATATAGCTTCGATCGGATAGATTATATTATCTGTTTGTGTGTAATTGTTAAATTCGCCAATATTGGCCGCATTTAACAGTTTACTTTGCAATTGTTAGAAATTTACTTTGTTGAGACAGGACTATTTTTCTAGATCTAAAAGTATAATCTAATCAGCGCAAAAAGCACTGACTTCTTATTCATTATATCTCTACCGAAAAGTACTTTGAAATTTCTGATTATTAAAATTTTGCTAAGTAATTATATACATAAATATATCAAATTTTTCCGAGTTTTTTTTAAATAAAGTAAAATTTACATTAACTACCGTATATTTATGTATTATTAATCAAAAAATTTTTATATTTTTTGTTAAAATCAAATTCGGGTTTCTTGTCAATCGACGTTAGCGAGTAACAAATGCATTCTCATAATCATTTAATTCCCGTTTATTCCTGTTTGTTCAAATATGAAATTGTTCTGGACGCGCCACGCCATATTCGTCGCGCGTCTTCGGTCTTCGGCATTAACTCTCATTGATCTTCAGAACGCGTTTGCGCGCGTCGACCATCAAGCGGCTATATAACAATTGTACGGCGCTACGGCCAATGAGGGGTCGCGATTTTCTGGTTGCGTTGAGGTCTCGTGGCCGCCCGCTGTCGCCGGTGTCGCGTCCCATCGTTGTTTTCTTTCATAAATTCTTCTCCCTAGTCCGGTGCGAGCGCCGTTCATGGTAGACATTGTTATACCGTTGTCGTCGTCATCAGCGTCATCATTGTCGTCTTTGTTGACGCCGCTACTATCGCTACTACTGCTGTCATCGTTACTGTCGTCGTTGCTAGCGAGATTACCAGAGAAGTTCAACGTTACGATCCCGACCATCGACGCTTATCATCACCGCAGCAACAGCGGTGAAAGCAGTCCTTACCCTCTCTCTTTCTCTTCCTCTCTTCCTTTCCTCCCCTTCTCACCCCTCCTTACTCTTTCTCGCCACTATGATTCCGTACTCCACGTGTTTGTCTTTCGGGGGCCATCGTGACACCCGCCACTGGGTAATCATGTATGACGAAATCAATTCCTACTCGGTGAGTCGTTTAAATATCATGCAGCACAAACACCCAAAAATATACATCCGCAGATACCTATTTTACATTCATGTTTAAAGATATTTTTATCTAAACCTGCTTGAAAAATGTTACATGCATATATGTTTACAATTTCGGTTTTTGACGAATAACCCAACTTGGAGAAATCGAATGTGATGAATGAATTGTTTGTTCATGTACTTATATGTGTATATATGAAATATTAAAAAAAAGAAAGATTTAAGATTTAGAGAAAGTTAACACTTGTCATAATGAGCAAAAAATTCTAAGAAAAATTAACAAAGAGGCTTGTAAATGACTTCTCCTATCCATTTTGATGAATTTTGGAAATATAGCATAAATCAAAATAAAGGACAATTGTGCGTTAAATTTTTTGAAAATGTTATATTTGTTTAAATATTTATTATTTTTGGAAGTTTCTATAATCAATATAAAGCTTATATTCAAAGAAAAATCGCCGTGATATCTTATCCTAATCATAAGGCTAAATAATCCAACACAAATTTATTTCTTCTTGAAATATATATTAAGCATCAAAATATAAGCGTCATAAGACATAGTAATGTCTCGCGCTAAATTCATGCATAACAAAATTAACGTAAAATGGCACAGCGAGATATAATTAATATAATTAATTAATATAATTATAATACGTATATATTTACACGAGATAAGTGGTTTTAACATTTTTATATTTCAGTAACGGCTAAACCAATTTAGTTTTAACTAGTCTCAATTGATAGTCTCAATAGGTAGTTATAAATTGTATAAGGAAAGTATTTTTAATTTTCCGTTTCGTGAACAGAGATATTATAATGCTAAGTTTAAACATGTAAATTAAAAAAAAAGTCTTTGTCATTAAATAAATTTTCATGACTTTCCTTTTCCTGACATCAGGAAGCAATAACAGTGCTCATGGTACCCGTTTTTTGATAGATTTCTTTGATTTTAATATATCATTCGATATAACAATAATTGCATTTGCTCGAGTTTCACAGTAAACAATATCAGCGTCTTCACATTTTTTCGGATCAAGTCTATTCGCGTATTGTTTTGCACTTTTTGCATCTTCGCTTTCTCTCTCTTCAACGCCAGAATATATATTTATCTCATTTTAAGTGCGAAAAGTTTTTTCAGAATTTCAAGCAACACGAACAAATATAAGGTCTCTTTTCTGTGGCTGAACTAGTATACACTTTTGAAACTTAAAATAAGATAGATGTATGCTTGATATTTGGCGAAAGCGAGAAAGAGAATTCTAACGCAGTTTAGTGCAGGAATATAAAACAGATTTATATATCTGATATTGTGCACTTCTCGACCGGCTTCTGATCTTTCGATTCCGCTGTATTTCGCAAGTCGCACACGACGAGCATCACGGAATTTCCTCATATTTCTTTCCATTATCACTTTATAACATTTCGCATCGATATTTCATCAATCATATCATTCAAATATATAAAAAAAATGTGAAATATTTTTCATTCCGCCGTGAATTCAGAGAACGATAAATATCTATCTTTCTGATGACTAAACTCACGTGCCATGTGC